CTATTTTAAGAATACAAATATATTTTGCCCTCCACATATTTATTTCAATCCAAAAATACATGCACATATGAAGAAAAACATTATTTATAACAGCGTGAGCATAACACATTTAAATATGCATTTTATATGTTGTAGTTAAAAAAAAACATTATTTATATGAAAATATTATAAATCTAGTTTTGATCTCTATAGGCTATTCCATATAGGCTAATTTCACGTTTGCTTTTTTTAAACCAAATCAGTCCAATTGCATGTCGAAATAAATTCAAATTACAGTTTTTTTCAACTGCTTACACACAAAATCTTTACTTGTCTCACAATTTCTGAAAGCTGACACTCAAACAGCAGAAGCACACACCAAATCTGCAAAACCAGACACTAATAATCAGCCTTTGACTCAGTTTTCAATTTCATAAAACACTTTTTGCAAAGCACAACACACAATTCTCTATGTAGCACACAAAAACCTAACAGGAATTAATATAATGGCAAAGGTGTTTGCAAATGTTTGCTTTTGAGATATGTTTGTGATATTTTGAATGCAGTGCTGCATTTTGTGTGTGCAATTCTTGGATTTGTGTGTAAAGTTTTGTAAAAAAGAAACAAAGTTTTGAAAATGTGTGTAAGCAGTTGAAAAAAAACCGGTAAAGTCACCGGAGGCTGCAGGGGCACCTTAAGATAACCAAAGGCCCCTGGGCTACAGCATTACAGTATCTTCTTTTTTTTAGCTTCCTAACAATTATTTGTCAAATATCGTTTTTTGTCTTGTTAATATGCCAGTTAACATTCACAACACTGTTCTGCCTAAAATGTGAATAGAAGAGAATATGCAAATTCAATCTTTGCCACAAGGTGGCGCTTGTGGAACAGCAGAATTATATAGCCGTTACATAAAGTAAACACTACGTTATTACGGGCATTATACGGAGGTAATATGAAAGGAAAATGCCATCAAACCTTTCCTGGCATTTAAAAAGTTGACAGGTATGATTTAAACACCAAAAATCACACAAAATATTACTTATTCATCATCAGTAGATCAAAACAACAAGGCATGTTGGCATAAATGTGGGTTATTTGGTGATTGCTAACTGCGTTTTTATTTTGAAACATGACGTGCTCACGTTTAATTAGTTAAATCACAGCCGTATAAAGTTTAATGATCACATTTAAGCAATAGGACAATTCCTATTTTTCCATCCCCAGATTTTAAATTGAGACTTTGAAGCAGCACTGTTTATGGAACACAGATGACACACAGATTACATCCAAGCAAGTTACTGAACTCTCACTGTATGGCGTTACAGGACGTTGTCCGGTGCTTTCACACAGCAGTGTTGTGTTTCTGTTCATCTGCGTGTTGACATAAAGTCATACTCTCGTGCTGCGGTTATTTACTAGCGAATGCATTGTACATTCCACTTACAGCATATCGATGGAACACGTGGAACATACCAACTATACAAACTGTGTGGGGGCAACCTAAACTGAGCCATTCACTATATAGGCTACTACAACCAGGGCGTCGCTGAAAATGAGTGTGTGAGTTTGTTTACAGAACGCTGTTGTCATTACTGCAAACTCCCATATAAATAATAATTCAAAAAATATAATTTCCCTGCAGCCAGTGGGCCCCCTTTCCAGTGTAGGCCCCTGGGCTTCAGCCCCTTGAAGCCCGTGCATTAATGCGCCCCTG